TGAGAATGATGTACAAATGCGCTTTACACAATTGATGTGTGTATGGATTGTGCTAAGAGTTGTATGAGCCCCTAATAAAATGTTTAAAAAAAAAAAAAAGAATAACAAAGCAAAAAAAAAGAAATAAACATTAAACCCCAGGCTCTCCATTTTCACACAGGACACTGACGTGGTTAGTAAGTGTAGCAGCTCTCAGTGCTTCCCGGAATGTGGGCAAGGAGTTACTTGCCGACATGTGGCCTAGTGAGTGTCGCATAGTGAGCGCACAGGACAGTGTAGAGCTGCCCATAGGATGCCCTAGGCTGGGGCTAGCGGTTTCAACCCGCTGACCTATCAGTTAGCAACCAAGCACTTAACAATTGGGCCACCAGGCTCCTTCAGAGGAAAGTGACTATCACAGGGCAGTTTTGCAAAATCCCTCAAATTTACAAATGCATAAATCCTGTTCCACCGAACGCTACTTCAACGAGTTTTATGTATAGAAATCGCCATACAGATGTGACTTCTGCACAAGTCCTGCCTTGCAGCACTGTCTGTAACCACCAAGTGCAGACAGCCCAGGTCTCCATTGCCTGGGGACTGCCTGGATCCATTAGATTATCTCCACGGAGTGAATTCTACAGACACGGAATACTAGCGGGCAAGGGGAAATTGAAAATAGGACTGTGCTTCTTATGTAGATCAGGAAATAGCTCTAGGATGAAAGGTGCTGAAAAGTGCCGAATTTTTTAATTTTTGAATAAAGAAAATAAAGCAGAATGTCGAACCGTGCTGTCTCTCTTTCTCCAATGTGTGTGCCGCGTGTGCATGGCTTGTCATTGGGAGGGCATTTTTATCTGGTTAATAGGAGGATAAAGGAGCCTTGGTGACAGAGTAGCTTACATATGTTGGACTGCTAACTGCAAAGTCAGCAGTTCGAAACCATCAGCTTCTCTGCAGGAGAAAGAGGAGGCTTTCCATTCCGGTGAAGAGTTAGTCTCAAACACCCACCATGGCAGTTCTACCCTGTCCTGTAGCAGCAATTTGACTCAATGCGAATGAGCTCGGTCCTTTAGGTTAACAGGAGGACTAACTGGTCACACAGCAGGTGTAGAAGTGCAACTTTTCACTCTCCGGCTGGTCCCTGACTTAAAACAGCATTCCTTTATGACTCTGTCCTAACATAATTCAAATGTTTCTCTTTTTTTTTAGCTTTCATTTTTACTGTCTTTTATTATCAATATCTTTGCAAAATCTGATCTTTGATCATTAGCTGTGAGTGCATGTCTGTGACTGATAACATTAGCAAATGACACGGCACAACATGTACATGCTGAACATATTCCTAATGAAAAGATAAAAGAAGAGGAAATAAAAAAGCATGCACAGCTTTTTTGTCGGTGCACTTTGTGATAGCTCAAACACAATTGAAGATCACCTGTATCCCCTTTTATAACTTCTGAGTTTGGGACCATAGACAATTATTTCAGTGTTGTTGTTAAGGAAAGGTGGGATTAGCAAAGCGGCACCGTGAGGGGATTACTACAATACAAGCACTTCTGAAAGGATTCTGCTTTAAATCTATCTGTTTTTGAGGACTCTAAGCAGACTCATGATTTACAAATTTATCTCTTCAGACTTCCTGGACCACACTAGAGTAGCATGCTTCGCTTTGGACACTTTGTACCACATAAGGCGTGGGAAACAGAAGCGGGAAGGGAGTAGATGGGGACAGACTCTCACATTCACAGGTTAAGGAGTCTGAGAGGCCAAGGCTCCCATGGAGGAAACCTTCATGTTCATGGGTGGGAGATGTGTCCCACTCACATTCTCCTAAGTAAAAGTTATTCCCCATGATACTCCCTCCCCCACTTCCATAATAATGCCAAATCTAAGATGCTGTTTGCAAACACATAGTCACTGACTATACATTTGGAGGTCACCTGCTTAAAGCCTAACTTTATAAAGGTTATTAGGCATCTAAGGAATTCAGACCCTATTGTTTGTCCCACCCTAAGTAGTGCGCACTCCCTTCTGATAAGGGTGATGGATTGTTCCCCTGAAGGAGAGCCCAAAGTCGTCCAAGGTCAAGCCAATTCAGATGCCCACGTTATGCTGCCATCTGGACTGTGAAGTCCGCCCATCTTGTTATATATATGCATTCCTGTCACATGTGTGCCCAGAGCTTGTCCCCCTTCTGCTACGCATATGCCTATTGGACAACCCCTTCCTGTTACATATGTAGTTACTTGTAATTAGGGGGCTTGAACACCCCCTGAGTGTATATGTCTTGGTTGGAAATATATTCTGTCTTTCTGCATGGACCTGTCTCCCGGCGGTCCCGGAAGTGAGCACTTGCATGTTGTATCTTGTCTGATGTCTCTTTAATTCACCCCTTAATTACACAACCGCCCCCTTGGACCTTGTGGGGGCTGGTACCCCACAACAGGGGATGTCCGCATGTACTAACAATAAAGCTGTCTTGCTCAACTATCCTATCAGGAGTGTTGGCCTTTGGTGGAGATCTTGCAGAGAAACTAGGGCAAAAGAGAATGATGGAAGCCCAGAATGCAGAGGACAGAGCAGGTATGGAAGGATGGGATCCAGCTTTCTTTTGGAAAGTTAGACACTTCCGCCTGGAATAAAACCGGAAGAGGACACGTACCATTACGGTCGCCACGTTGTTTGGGAAGGCCTTCGCGAGGATGGCGGAGGATGCGGTTATGGCTGCCGAGAAGCTGATGGCATCGACCACTCTCACCAGAAAGCACATGGCAATAAAGGTCGGTCCGTCGGGAACTTGGTCCAACACACTGAAAAGATGGAAGACACTTTTCAAATATCCAGCTAGATAGTACATTTTTTCCCGTATTTTATTTTTCTTAACTTCATCCACTGAAAGCAGCAGTACGTAAAAATGCATAGTTACTAGGATAAGTCTGCTTGTGAGTTTTTTTAAGAATTGCTTTGTTATATTTTCAGTAGACAAAAAGACACACTTAAAAAACATTAAGTGGTATTGACACTGTTCAATGGCCCTTGTCTGCTGGCATAATTGGGCCTGGAAATGATCACACTAAACAGACCTTTGATCACGAGCTTCAGCGGCTAAGTGCTGACAACATATCAAAAGGCTGGTCAGCAGAGATGCCTCAGAAGTTAGGCCTGGCAATCTGATTCTGAAAGGACATCAGTTTGAAGGCTCTAAAGAGCAGTTCTACTCTGTCCGTCTGGTCTCCAGGAGGTGCAGGGGTCGTGATGGCAACTAACAACGACACAGGCCTTGTGGGGAGATGTAGGATCACAGTGATAAGAATCTGCCTAGAAAGAAGGACCCAGAATGGTCCCAGGTTGCTTGGTAAAGCTCAAAACCTCAGAAAAAGAATGAATGCAAAAAAAATAGAAGACTCCCTAAAAAGAACAATAATAATTAAAAAGAAAATACGGATCTAGATTGTGTTTGATATGAAGGATTTTCTGGGCTTAAATCATCTTAACCTCATTATAGTCTTTGATTCCCCCTCCCCTGCACCCCCCACCGTTCAAAGACTTGTTCCAGGTTTTCCATGTAATTTGTCACTCGAATGACAAATTTAAGGGACTCTGTGTTTCAGATCTTCTTCCAGAGCTGTTTGTCTGCTGACACTTCCTTTTCCTCTTCCGGAACTGCTCACTGGGGACTCATCCAACCCACACTTTCAGAGGGAGCACATGACCCTGGCCTGCTGATCAGAGTACCCTCTCCATCTGGACACAGGGGTAGAGGCAAGATTTGGCCATCAGCTCAGAGCAGGCCTGTGCAAGCCTGGCAGGGGCGATGAGGAGAGTGGCCCTCATCCTCCGGGAGCTGTTGGGACCATCCGGCCAGCACAAGGGGAGAACTTTGCCCAAGAACAAAGCAGACAGAGAACGCAAAACCACAATGTTGGAAAAAGATATTTGATGACCTCATTTCAACCCCTGAATCCTGATGTTCTTCACATGACCCTTCAGGTCAGGAACTCACATTCTGGCACAGACCAATCTGAGTTGGGTTTGTGTCTGTCACAATCACCAGGTCCTAGTAAGTAAATTCAGTAGCAAGCTTTACAAGGGTCCCCTCCCGGAAGACCCTTTCCTTTTGTTCAGTGATGTCCTTTCCCATTCTCTGTCACCTGACTGACTCCCTTTGCTACTCATCTTGACTAACTCATTGAAAGAAGCCTTTGGCATTTAAACTGGAGGCTTTCTGACATATAGTCAAACTCACCAACACATTAGAAAATTACTTACCCAAAGAGGATTGTAACTCCTCCTGAGACAAACATTCCTGCCACAAACATAAATTTTGCTCCAATACGTACGAGCTATAAAGAAAGTCAAAGAGAAGCAGTACAGTGATGGCTGCCACACATCTGTATTAGCATAAACAAATCCACCGTGTCAGGAAATATAAGACATTAGCATGACGTGCAAAGTTAGTAGAGTATTACAATAGCCCAATTAGATACTTATGAAAAACTCTGCATATCATTAATTATCCACTTAAAACCATCTCTGATCAGAGCTGTGAACACAAATTGTTGTGAACACAAATTGTTGTGAACACAAATTGTTGCACAACCAGCTAGGACAGCTCATACTTTTCAATGAAATGCAAGCATCTTTATGAAATGATAGCATATGGTTTTTACAAACCTGGAAGGGATTGAAAATCAGTAATCCAACAGTAGCGCAGTACCTAAGCTATAATGCTGGTAAAACTAGATAGTACCTAGCTACCACTACCGATAGAATGGCAGAATGGGAGAGAAATGTTGATAGAACAAAACCCCAATTGCTTTAAAAAAAAAAAGGCAGATAATTGGACTGAGAAGAGACTAAAGCAACCCATGAGGCTATCACCCTAGGATTATCTTTGAACTTGGAATTGAAAATATTTCTACAGGTCACCACTCAGGTAATAATATACCAGCTTATAAAGTAAGCAATATGACTCAAAATAATGTACTCCCTTAAATAATGCATTATTTGAAAGGGCTTCAAAGTGAGTGGAGTATACACACTTCAGTCTTGAAAATCCTCAGACCAGAAGAACTAGATGGTGCCCCCACCACCACCACCACTACCAACTTCTCAGAAGGTCCAGAGAGAGTGGGAGAAAAACGTGGGACAGAGCTCAAAATCATAGAAGAGACCAGGCTTCCGGGTCAGATGGGGATAGGCAGGACCCCCAAGACTATGGCCCTTAGTCACCCTTCAAGTCCACAACTGAACACACCCCTATGGCAGAATAATTGACCATTTGAAACCAAAAGGGCAGTATTTACCAAGCAACAAAGTTCCGAGGGTTATGAAAGGCAGAGCGATAGAAACAGGGACTACGGGGAGAAGGCAGAATGGTTTTGAGGGATTGCTGCAGATGGGCTGAAATAAAATCTGTACGAACTGCTGAACATAAGACTGATGAGCTGCTCTGTCAACCTCCACCTAATTTATAATAAAAATTTCACGGAGGAACTTCATTATCTTTTCATTGACTTTTGGATGCTCCCTTGTATGAGACCAAATGATCAACATTTACCTATATGTAAAGGTAAGACAGGAAGGCAGAGAAAGGAAGCTAGGTGGAAAGAAACAGAACCCGTGGAAATGAGAATAATGACACGGTGCAAAATTTATAACCAAGGACATGGAACACATTGTACAAAAATTGGTGAAAGCAACTTAATTTCATCTAATATCCAAGCACATGTTTTTAAATTATAGATGCACATATTGTATACACACATGATGATAGCTGTTTTTATATCTGTGAAAATTCTAGACCAATAAATTGGAATAATTCATACAAATTTTAAACATCAAAATGTGTACACAATTCATAATACTTACATATTTTCCAAATACCAAAGATGCCAGCAAGTCACACAAAGCATAACATCCAAAGATCATACCAATAACTGTATTGCTAGCGCCCTTCTTTTCAGCCTTGAAATAAATGGGAAAGAAAACAAAATTGGAAGAAAATGAGTATTCATATGGGGGGAAAATAAAGGAACGATTAGATCAGAGAATCTCTGATAACTTTTGTGCAGTATATTCCAGACGATTACCTTAAAATAAACGTCTTAGGGAAGAAAAAGAAACCCTAGTAAAACCTGGTTTCTCCCATGAAAAGATTTCGCCCACCAAGCTTATAAGGAAGCATTGACTGTGGCTGTAAATCCTAAATAGAGAACAATCACTAAACTCTTGGATGAGACCAGGTGGGTCCAGCATCACCCTTGAGACAGAAGATACACCTGATCCTGTGATCACATTGAAGCAGGGGCAGACATCACTGATGCATAGATCATTGTGACAGACCAGGTTCTCGAGAAGTGGAGATCCTGTGAGCTGGTGCACGGCCACATCAGAAGCCCACTTAAATTGGTCCTCTGTTTCTGCCAAAAGTACCAACAACCCTCAGTGGAGTAAATGTCCTGGCCTGCAAATATACAGGTTGACAGTTCAAGTCCACCCAGAGATGCCTTGAAAGAAGAGCGTGGCAATCTGCTTCCCAAAGCTTAATGACTGATAGCACCTGTGAAGCAGATCTACCTGAGACACATGCCGTCACCATGAGTCAGGAGCGACATGATGGTGATTGATTTTCACTGGAACCTGTCAATTTGGAGAAGACAATGTATTCTTTCCTGACGTCCAAAACACAGATTCTAAAATGTCCTCATTGACTTTTATTATTATTAAATCATTTTATTGGGGGCTCTTACAGCCCTTATCACAATCCACACATACAATCATTGTGTCAAGCACACTTGTACATATGTTGCCATCATCGTTTTATTATTTTTCTTTTGTATAAAGCACATTTATACATTCGTTACCCTCATCATTGTCAAAACATTTGCTCTCCACGTAAGCCCCTGGCATCAGCTCTTCATTTTCCCCCACTCCCTCCCTGCTCCCTCCTCCCTCATGAACCCTTGATAATTTATAAATTATTATTTTGTCATATCTTACACTGTCCGACGTCTC